CAATCTCGAGGGCATGGTTGAGGGCCTCGATGTCGCGCAAAGGCTTCCCTTTGTAGCATTGTTTGCACTCCAGTGCTCGGAGATGCACATCTCCACAAACTGGGGCGAAGACCGAGTCACTGTACTCACGCCCACATACGAATCGGCCAGAGGACGATCCTGCCGGGAGGAGATGGACCGTCCTCGTATTGCGGTGCCTGTACATCAAGCACTCATTGACCTTCCTAGGCTGGAGCTCACCGGCACGATCCCCCGATGCTTGGACTTTCTCATCGATCGAAGCTTCAGAAGACGAATCACTGCTGGAGGAACCGCTCTCGCCTCCGCTGCAATCTGCAGGCTCCTCGATTGGACCCTCTCCAAGATTGTCCTCAGAGAAAGGCGCTGCCTCGGCATACCAAGCTCTCTCACTAAGCCAAGCTTCTGCCGCCTCTTCTGTATCAAGGGGCTCGCTGTGGGGGCAAGGCGAAGGAAAGAATGCGTCATCAGGCTGCTCGGGCAAAACAGCAGGGGGAGAAGGAGGGAAGGAGAAAGAAGGCATGCAATCACTGTTGTCCACAGATGCCTCGCCGACTGCCTGAACTCCTTCGAGTGCACGAGCTGCGGCTCCCGGTTCACTTGCGTGATCAGTGCTCACAACCCTTGCTTGCGATACGAATCGTCCGGATCGAGTGGCGTCCGGAAGAAAAACCCCTTGCCTGACATCTCTCAAGAGAGCCTCGAACTGCCTGACAGGAGCGGCTTGAGTGTCTCTGGCATAAGTCAGAGCCGAATTTCGGCCCACCAAGACATGGTGCCCCAAGATCGTCTGAGTATCGAGATCCGTGCCAGCTTTCCCTAACCAGGACAAGGGTGTCGCCTTGGCTGAATGCCCTGTCACCCTCTCACCCGAGTAGCCCGGCAGAGCAGATAGGATGTCCTGCAGCCACTGGGCAAAGCTGTCCGTCTCAGCTGACACATTGGAAAAGCCCCCTTGGGTGTTGGGGAGGTAAAGCAGCGGCTCACCACTCTTGAGCTCCGACAGATCTCTGCTGCACTCCCTAGCCACGGCAAGAAAGTCCTTGCCCCACGATCGTGGACCTATGCCTTTGGCTGGCACGACGATATGCATGCGCATGCCCGTGCTGTTGCTGACACTCCTACACTTGTGAGAGAGCGACAGAGCCTCAAGATAACCACAGCTGTCACCAGAGTCATCAAGAAGATCAAGCAGGAAGCAATCCAAAATCTTAAGATCTCCCAATCTGGCCCTCCCGTAAAGTGCGAAGAGGAATGCACCTATGCAGAAGCGGTCTATGGCAGAAATGGTCGGGTCCACGAGAGCCGCCTCCAAAGCCAGCACCTCGAGAACAAGAAGAGGCCGGGCTTGATGCTTCTCCGGCCGCTCAAGCCTGGCTTTCCGCAAGATGCCTTGCACAATTGGAGTCTTACAAGCACCTGGGTCCATGTCAACTCCCAGCACATGGTGGAGGAAGGCAAAGCACTCTATGGCACCAGTCAGCACGGAGTGCTTGCAGGCGGTTTCACACAGGAAGCGAAGGTACTCCTCAACAATCTGAGCATCAATGGGAGAAACCTTTCAGGACTCCGAGTTGGCCCACTTGAGGAGCTTAGCCGCCTGGCCAAAGCGCTTCTGCAAGGTACGGGGCGCCTTGCCACCTAGAGCAAGACGAGCTTTGTGCTGCCTCCTCTCAAGGATATCATCTTTGAAGCCTCGTCCAAGAATGGAAGCCTCATAAGCATGGGCCAACACCAATTCGAACCTCTGCACATGAAGCTCAAAGATGTCGTCATCGCTCAGTCGGGATCTTCGATTCACTGCACGCACTGCAAACTTCAAGAAGATTTGCTCGCAACTCGCCGCACTAGGATGCGACGGAAGCAGAGAGGCAGGCTTATCAGCAGGAAGTGCACTGCTCTCCTGAAGGGATTCCCTAGCCTCAGCATGCCTCGGAATGCTAGGAACTGCGCTGCTTGATGAGTCTCCGAAGATGTCTGCAAAGACCCCTTGCTCCCAGGGCAGGCACAGCGTGCTCGCATGAGAATTTTCTAGCACTGAGTCAAGAGTGGCCCCTGGCAGCTTCGACACTGCATCACCTGCTGAGTTGCAACGGGACATGCTCCCAGACGTCCGCCTCCCACAAGAGACGCGCCAGCTGAAGGAAGCAGATGCACAGCACAGAGACGGCTTGGCAGATAAAGTCAAGACGCACTTCAAGATTGCGTATGGAAGCTGATTGATTCTCAAGATGCAATTCAAGGCTGTCCTCAATGCTCTCAAGTCTGGAGTTGAAATTCAGCACTGTACGGGCAACCTCTGCCCGAATCTCAGGGAAATCGGCCGCTTGAACTTGCAGCCCTCCGATGCGGATGAAAGCAATGTCTAGCCTACCCCTGAGCTCGTGCAGCCACAATCGATATGCAGCGAGTAGCTCTTGCAGTCTTCCGAACAAGCTAAGCAAGGCCAGGAGGTCCTGCTGCCCTGTCCGCGTGCGCTACCCACCGCCCCCCGCAACT